ACGGGGGGGGGGGGGAGTGTCAAGGAGAGAGGGACACAATGCAGTATCAAAACTGAAAAGCAATCTGATTTCCTCACAAATTTCAAGTGGAAGGACTGACCTGACACTGGTTATTTTATTTTCACGGTATTAAACAGCAGAATGACTTCATTTTGTCCTCAACCGGTATTAAACAGCAGAATGACTTCATTTTGCCCTCAATAGACTTATGAGAGTGTGTGTGTGTGTGTGTGTCCAGCCCTCACCTCCATCAGGCAATCAGCAGTTAACAAAAATAGATTTTTGCATTGTTCTGTGGATATTCTGAAAGAATTTCCTGTGCCAAGACCTTCTGATGATTTCTTCAGAACAGCTTAGGAAAGCCTGCCAAGAAAGTCTTTGTTTCTCTCCTCACCAAGAAATCACAGATGCAAAAAATACTCTGGCAGGTAAAAATTTTAAATAGCTCTCTAGGTAAGCACTGCTGTGACCCCTCAGGCCCCTGTGATATTTATACTTCCCATCAAAGAAATGCAGGTTTTAAAGCCATTCCTAAAATGATAATCCAGCCACTGGAAATCTGAAGATTGACAGAAGCTTGCTAAGAATATAAAAGCCAGCATGACCTCTTGTGTTTGAGTACAGGTAAGCAGGTTGTCAGTCATGTGTCCTGCCAAGGAGAACAAGAAGGGAGAGAGCTCTTGTACACCTTTTTGCCCTGTTGAAGTGGAGCAACTTAGCAGCAGACCTTTCAGCTGGAGCAACACCCTTGTCCACACCCCCTTGTTTGAATGCAGAGGTTATCATCACATATTATACATGATAATTGCAGCAAATTATATTTGCTGCAACGTAACTGAAATTAGAAAAAAAGCATTTTCACAGATTGAAGAGGTGTCACCAGTTTAAGAACCGATAGCGTGCTGGAGCTATTCTATCAGCTAACAAGCAGTTGATGAGTATATAAAAGGCTGTATTTCAAGTCAGAGCACTCGTTCATAACACCAAATCAATTAAAACAACCTGAACAGCATCACAATTTCTCTTTTATAAAAATAAGCTCGTATTAAAGAACCCTTTTAAGTAATTTATGTAATTTCGCCTTCCTCATTATCCATCAGGTAAAGAAACTTCAGTACAAGATGAACATTTTTGAATAATGCAATAAATTGTTCTACTTTACAACATTAGTTCTCTGTGGTTCTTACCTGTTTGAGTACATCTAATATGAGCTCATTAAAGACTTCATTGATTGCCATGGAGACCGTCTGTCGGTCCATCCCTTTACTGAACTGCCCGCTTCCGATGAGATCGATCAGCTCCCACGCAGAAAGACCTTCTCGACTGGTGTTGAGAGCAACCTTATAATGGTCAAATTGCTCCTGCTGCCAGCCTGCCCCCATGGCCTCCGTGAGTTTTTTAAGTAAATATTCAATCTGTAAAGAAACACAAACAGAAATCAGGGAAATCAGGAGTTTCAGAGCTGTAAACTAAGCTTCTCTAGGGACTATCATTACAGCTGGATTCCTGTGTCCTCATGTCAGCCCCTAAACAGAAGCAGTTTAATCAGCAAAGATTTTAGGCTCCTGTCTCAGTTGAACTTTTGACTGCCAAGCCCATCCCGCAGCTCTTCTCTTCGTAGTAAAGAAACACAGAATTGAATCTGACAGTCTCTTTTAATAATTTCAGGTTCCCACAGGACACATGGGACCTTCCCTGCAACAGCTTCCAAACCATGATGGATGAAGCGTGAGAAAGCAAGAAGTTTCAAAAAGTATTCATGTAAGATAAAAGGCAAACAAATTAGAAAAAATAAGAAAAGATAGCACTTTGGACAAGAAGTGAAATGAAAAACTACAAAGCTCTGGTCACATAGCTTAGTCTTCACTTGACCCCTCTTCCCTAGCTCTCAAGCACTTCCATCACGGGACAAAATCTTGGGAGATGTATCAAGAGAAGTAAAAGAACAAATTTTTTGTGTCTGCTTCTACTGTTTCTAAGATAAACTCCTTTTCTTTTAGTCTTTCAACATTCTGTAAGCATTACCATACACAGAATAATAGCACTAATAACAGAGTCAAAATAAACACAAGAATGAAAAAGAGGGAAAGAAGGCTGAGTTTCTTCTTTTGTTTGTTTTTTGTTTGCTATAAACTCATTGCTGTTTGCTTTTTAAACTAGTTTTCAGTATTTTAAACTAAGCCCCCCAACAGCATTGAGGACATGTAAAGTGCTTTTAATGGCTCTTTAAACAAAGTAATTGGTGAGAGCCTTCCTACAAAGACCTCTACACAACTAAGTAAAAGCCTGGCTTCTAACTTTTTATGACTGAAGTCACCAATTACAGCATTTCACCCAGATTTGAAGACAGACCAAGCTGATGTGGCCTTCAGCTATTTTGGGTAATGGCTCACTGCGTGTCCTCAACAGCTTCATAGGGAACCCAACTACTGCCTTCAGAAACCAGCCAGTTTGAAGAAGAACTCTTGAAGAAGGAAGCCTGAGTGACCCCACACTGGAGCACCCTCCTGCACCAGCCCACCGCAGGGACAGGGCAGCACCAGCTCCCCCAGGACCTGGCCTTTCTCTCCAGCCACCAGAAGGCCAACAGGTAACAGGCAGGTCATTCCCAGAGCTGCAGACCGGGGCTCATCCCAGCTTTCCTGCCTCTCCACGGGCAGGAGGGATGCGACAGGGTGGGCACTGTGCACTGCCCGGTGGAAGTGGGGAAGGAAAGCACCACCATCCTTCCAGGTTCTCTCCATGCATGTGGAAACAACATGGATTTCCTCAAGTGTCACTTTTCTGAAGGTTAGTCCTTCAGGTCGGTCTGCTCCACTTTCACTTTACCTATTTTAGGTGTGGTTTTGGAAACAGTGACTCAAGGAGTCTGGATCCCATTATCAAAAACGACTAAGGTGTACAGCATGAACGTGCCTTGTTGAAAAGTGGCGGAAACCAAATGATTTTCAGGGTGTCATTTTTCTAATCACCAATGCTGGTTCACCTCTGCTCCTCAGCAATTCTTGAAAGCACAATGCAACTTCTCCTACGGGTAAGAAAAACCCTGGCTGAGAGAGCCAGAGGACGTGTCACCACAAAATAAATTAACTTTCCAGCTATGACTCAGCTGGTTGAATAGGCTTTTGAGCACCCAGCAGCTTCTAGGTAAGAGATTTGGCAGTACAAAGTGTCACTTTTCTGAAGGTTAGTCCTTCAGGTCGGTCTGCTCCACTTTCACTTTACCTATTTTAGGTGTGGTTTTGGAAACAGTGACTCAAGGAGTCTGGATCCCATTATCAAAAACGACTAAGGTGTACAGCATGAACGTGCCTTGTTGAAAAGTGGCGGAAACCAAATGATTTTCAGGGTGTCATTTTTCTAATCACCAATGCTGGTTCACCTCTGCTCCTCAGCAATTCTTGAAAGCACAATGCAACTTCTCCTACGGGTAAGAAAAACCCTGGCTGAGAGAGCCAGAGGACGTGTCACCACAAAATAAATTAACTTTCCAGCTATGACTCAGCTGGTTGAATAGGCTTTTGAGCACCCAGCAGCTTCTAGGTAAGAGATTTGGCAGTACAAAGAAATAAAGAAGTGTTTTTCCCCACACACATTTCACCTCCAGGACTCCCAGGCCTCCCTGTTTAGATGCAGCACACATGCTAATTTTGTGGCTGCTGCTTCTCTCTCTTGCAACCAGTACAGACAAATCCCTTCCTTTCCCTCACACCCACAAGCATGGACCAGAACACGCTCAGCTGGCAAAGCAGCAAATTACCAAATTCACCCTACAGATGGGTGGGCTTCTCCGTGACTGTTCTCAGCCTCACAGCCCCATCTCTAGCAGCACGTGGACTGAGGCCACAGCAAAATGGAGAAGCTGCCGCGCTGCACCGTCTGGAGGAGCGTTCCCTCTCCCCTGAAGGAGCAGGAAGCACGTATCCCTCCCAGATGTGGCTGCCACATCCTCTTCGCAAGGGCTGTCTAAGAGAGGACAGGCCAGCGGGTCACAGAACGAGCCCCCAGGCTGGGTGCAGAAGTTGTGGAGAGCACTGCTTTTCCTTTCAGCCTCACCCCGTAAGGCGTTTCAGTATTTTTAGCTCCTCCTGCAATCCTTACTAGCAAAGAGAGGATCTGTGGAAGCGGCAGTCACACTGCAGACAGGCACAACCAACACAGGGTATGAGGTGACACTTTCAGCCCCTCTGCCTTTTGAGTAAAGCACCCCCGGGGCTGGGGGGGGCACCTCTGCACACATGCTTTGTCCTTCCCTGCGTGCCCAGCACAGAGAAGGTGACACGGGTCCCTGCTGCTGCACCACCAGGGCTCTATGTGCCACCTTCACCGGGGCTGGTGTGCAGACGGGCCACCAGAACGGGCCACAAAGCATGTCCCATGGTGGTCCCACACACAGCTCGGAGCTGCTGGAGCTCACACAGCACAGAAATTTCAGCACGCCCCCCCCAGCAGCCAACAGATAACTTTTACTAGCTTTCTGTAAAATTCAGGAACTAATTCCTTTAAAAAAAACATCTAAAATATACTTTGCTGATTTTCACTCTCCAAAGTTCCTGAAGTTAAAAAACTAATCCGAGGCTGTTAAGCATCAACTCCCATAAATCCTCTGCATTCAGTTAAAGGCAGGAAGCAGCTTACTTCCTACCCCAGACAAGTTTTACAGAAAAAAAAAAAAAAAGAAACAACGCCAAAAAGTCCTTTACAACGTGCAAGACCAGCAACACCGCAAAGCTGTTTCCAAACAAACCTCCTAAAACCTGGACTTGAGGGGCTGAAATGAGCACTATCAGAGCAGGAGAAACACTTTCCCCCCCGCTGAAAACACATCCTGCCACTCAGCTCAGTCCCTCCCAGCAGCAGCACTTCTCAGCTACCATCCTGTACCTCAGCTGAAAGCAAAGCCAAAGTAACCGAGGCTTAATGAGGTAGGTAATATACCTGCCAAAATGCTAGACACCATTTAAAAAAAAAAAAAAAAAGGTGGTCCCACACACAGCTCGGAGCTGCTGGAGCTCACACAGCACAGAAATTTCAGCACGCCCCCCCCAGCAGCCAACAGATAACTTTTACTAGCTTTCTGTAAAATTCAGGAACTAATTCCTTTAAAAAAAACATCTAAAATATACTTTGCTGATTTTCACTCTCCAAAGTTCCTGAAGTTAAAAAACTAATCCGAGGCTGTTAAGCATCAACTCCCATAAATCCTCTGCATTCAGTTAAAGGCAGGAAGCAGCTTCCTTCCTACCCCAGAAAAGTTTTACAAAAAAAAAAAAAAAAAAGAAACAACGCCAAAAAGTCCTTTACAACGTGCAAGACCAGCAACACCGCAAAGCTGTTTCCAAACAAACCTCCTAAAACCTGGACTTGAGGGGCTGAAATGAGCACTATCAGAGCAGGAGAAACACTTTCCCCCCCGCTGAAAACACATCCTGCCACTCAGCTCAGTCCCTCCCAGCAGCAGCACTTCTCAGCTACCATCCTGTACCTCAGCTGAAAGCAAAGCCAAAGTAACCGAGGCTTAATGAGGTAGGTAATATACCTGCCAAAATGCTAGACACCATTTAAAAAAAAAAAAAAAAAATCATTAAAACTTAATGAACTTCAACTTCAAAATGTATTGTTCCAAGATTTCACAACCTATTATGCTGCTTGAGGCATGCAGCCCTCAAATTCCTTTGGTTAATTAAACAATGGGGACTCACTTGCAGACAAAGAGACACACACAAAAAAATCATACCTGAAGAGATTTTTTCACTTTTTTTGCTCAAGCCATATGAACAACATGTATATCAAACTAAAGGTGTGGAAAAGCAGCAACGAAAAGCTCTTCACTAGCACACGTTATCATGTAAAGCATTCAAAATAAGTCAATGTATCCTTTCCTTTAATGTCATTTGTATACATTTTACCTTATTTTGATTATTAGAACAGATTTAAACATTTAAGTCTGCTAACCCCCATCTACAATTCACTAACATGACTACAAATATCCTACAATCCCATGGAAATATATAAAATAGCTTGTTATTTTAAAAGACATTAACTCTTAACTGAAAAAAGGGCCTTTGGATATTATAATTTAATTTCTAAAATAAAAAAAAAAAAAACAAAACACAAGCTTTATCTTGAATTCAGATAAGCCCATGGCTAACCAAAGTCCTCAGAAAAATTTTATCTAACATACCTGCTCAATAGCAACAGTGAGCGTTGTAGACATTAACTCTTAACTGAAAAAAGGGCCTCTGGATATTATAATTTAATTTCTAAAATAGAGAAAAAATAAAAACCCCCAAGCTTTATCTTGCATTCAGATAAGTCCATGGCTAACCAAAGTCCGCAGAAAAATTTTATCTAACATATCTGCTCAATAGCAACAGTGAGTGTTGGGGTAGGGTATAAATATGGAACAGCCCAAGGTAAATATAAAGAAATAAATTGGATCAGTGTGGAAGCAAATAAGAGACCATTCATTATGTGCTCGAATGAGGAACCTCTGAGAGCAAACGACATTTCCCCTCCTCCACACAAAGAGACATGTCAACTCAGCAAATAACTGGCACATTAAGACCACTGGCTCAAACGTAATTACTCTTGTGGTTAAGAAGTAGTGCGTGAAGCAACGCTCGCTGCTCTTCTGACTGGACCTTACTTTTGGATATGGACATTAAAACACAGAGCGAGTTGCTAACGCTACGTACGCCAGTACGGACCAACTGGTATGAAAAATGGCTTCCATCTCAAATCCAGAGAAACTTTTCAGCCAAAATTTTGCCAAGAGAAAGCAAAAATAAT